AAACTGTATCCTCGGGGGCGGAGCTACGTCACAGACGTTCCACGTTGCTAAGATGCGCACCACTGTACCATGCATTTCTATGGGCTCTGTGCGCGCTGCTGTGGAACGCCGGTCGAGCCGGTGAAAATTTGAGAAAACAACACAAACTACACTATGAAGTAATCCTATACAACCAAATATTTATATGTTACACACGTAGGGCTAATCTTGTTACACTGTTCAGGGGAGTCTCAACAATCATCCCAAAGTACTGTTTTCTGCGAGTTTTGGGCCTTTGTTTTCAACGCCGCGGGTTGCCAGGCGGTGAAAATGCCCGGATGTCCGCCCCCGAGGATACACTGATTATTACTGTCAAACTTTCTAATTTCATTCCGTTCGCTGAAGGGATGATTCAATGAAAAATGAAATATACCATTTTTCCTATATTTTACATTCAACTCAATTCCATACAAATCACTGAAAAAGTCTTTTCAGTGAAAATTAATTCCAACTAAACTAAAGTAATTTACAATAGACTGATTACCACATGGTATCTGTATCTTTCCAGGTGCTGCTAGAGCTCATACTATAGCGCAGGTTGTTAATTTAATTGAGTACTGTATGGTGACTGGGTATGATTGGTGGGATCTGCTTCTCACTATCACTCCAGGTGGGTAACACGAAAAGAATAGTGAGGTATTCATGGAAAATACTTTACCGGTAATTTTCAATTTATGTGCACTTTATTATGCTGGTAATAGAACAAATATGATAAATGTAAGGGAATATGTGTGTGGAGCTGGATTTAAACATCTGAAGAATGTATTTGAATCATTTTCTTTTTACGTGCCTTGTAGGTATGGTTGACACTGTGATAGATCGTCTCAGTGAAGCATTTAATAGACAGCCTAAACCATTGCAAGAATTGCTGTTTACGAGACTTACAGCAGTTAAAGCCACTCTTTATAGGTACGAACCGTGTGTCTCTCTTGCATGGACAATAAGGATTATCACTAATAATTTGTCTTTCTGTACATCTGTTTGTGTATCTCCATGATTTAGCATAATCATACATCTGATAGGGAAAACGATAGAATTCAGTCGGCCGTAAAATGTCGTACTGATGCTTTCAAAATTGTTACAGATCAAATCCAATTATTACGAAACAGTGTGTCATATTTAGTTTCCATTGGAACATTTTCGCAGGCACAAGTACTTTTTGCTGTAATTTCAATCTATTATATCTAACTACAAAAGTGAAAAGATGTAAAATTTGAGGTTATCATGAAATATATGTATAATTATGCATAATTATGAGGTTATCAGGAGAATACCGCAAATTATGCACTCAGGCGGTCAACCCCCGCTATGTGCCAGTCGATATAATCACGTGCTTACTTTTACGATAATCTTATGGTAACTTTATAATATCCGACTTAGTAACAATGACATGATATTGCCAAGACAATTTGTTGTCAACTTTCCTATACAGTGTATATAGAACTTTGCTTCATACATGTACATAACAAAGTTTGACCATGAAGTGTATAATAATGCAGTGGGAATGTACTCGTCTCAAATTATTGAGGACCATTTCTGATGAAAGTGTAAGAACTTTTAGTATTTAAAAATAAAATGTATGGTATGAATATGATATCCTATCTGAAAATAATAAGTTAAAATCATTTCTGCAGTTTTCAGAAATAAACCTCCTTTTTAACTTTTTAACATCTTGATTGTGCAACATGTGCAAGATCTGTGTTGTTATATGCAACAATCAAAGTTGCCTACTTTGTTACTATGGGACCCATGCGACGACCATCAGCCTTTAAATGTGGGTAGAACAGTTCAGATCTCAAAATGTCTTACTCAACTTATGTTATGTTTGATAGGTTAAATCCAGGAACTACGGGTAAATTAGCCGATTGTCATGCTAAGTTACTACTGAATGGTATTGCTGTATCTTTTAAATCGTTGCTGAGACCAACCAATCTATCAAGTCAAGACAAAGGACTGGCAGATAAACTGTCAGGTGAGAAGGAAAATTCATGAAATCAAAACCCAGTGAATATGCTAAAAAATGTCAAAATACTGTAAAATAGCTGGAATTAATTTTTGCTGAAAATACTTTTAGAGTGTTTCGTATGGAGTTTTTTTCACTAATTTTTTATGAGTTGAATGTTAAAATATAGGAAAAAAGTTTATTCTCAATGACTCATCCCCTCATCAAAAATAGGGAAAATAAATTCCAAGCAATAATATGGTGAAATGATAGTGAGAATTAATGCGTTTACAGTAAACTTGATCGTTAACTCGATAATACCGATATTGTGTGTATATTTTATTCAGCTGTGTGTTCAAGAATTCTTGAGACTGACCTTGATAAGGTCATGATGAATTTAGACACCAAAGAATTTGTAATTGAACCTGGTGAGTACAACGTTCTTACTTTCTTATGTTCTACCTATATGTTTAAACATTTACTTCTATGTTATCGATAAAAAGCCATTGCTCTACCCATCTAGCTATTTTGAATAATTACTTAGTACAAAGATTACCAAATATTTAAACAATAATGTACTCCCCGGTGGCTCATAATGAACTAAAGCAAACTTTGCACGACATAACATGCGAGGCGTAGCCTTTGTAGCCCCCTCTTTGAGAATACAAACCTAGACCTTAGAAAAAGACAAAAAGACACAGCCTCTTCATCCCTTTAAATACAATAATTAATTCTATTTGAAAATGTTGGTAGAACAGTTTGTACAGTTTAATTTTTGTTGTTAACTTTGAACCAAACTGATGGGATTTCCAAAGTCTTCACTCCAACTGTTTTATAGTTTAATATGTTGTAATTTGCAGCCACTGTACAGTCTTTGCAGCAACTTATCCAGTGGGTGGCTGATTTTGCACTGTTTCTTTTAAGTTCAGTACCGTTACAACAACCTCATTGCAATAGGCCAGGGGTAAGTATGATACAATTATGCATAGTTCCTTATGGTTATGTACCATGCCCCCCTATCTTCATTTATTTTAACTTTCACCAACTTCTGACCCATTACTTTATGCCTACATTTATACCGGTAATACCACTAGCACTGAATACCAGTACAATACAATTTGGGGTTCCATAAAAAGCTGTTTAAATTTCACATATTTGTCACCAATGTAAAATGTTTACCAGATTATTCATGTCACCTTCAAACACTTACACAAAGTGTTGCAACACTGTAACATGTGATGGGAATCATATCCTGTCACTGAGTGTAATGTTTTCATCCTTTAATTTCATTTTTGGATGTTATCTCTCACTAAATAAAAAATAATTTCCTAATTTTGATAACAATCTATAGCCAATGGAAACTTATATCCATTTGGTCCAAAATTAACTAAGGAATTGTAGAAAAATACATAAAAATTTGGGCAGCAAAAATGTGGGGGTAGCACTAAAAGGAGTTAACTCTAAGAATGCTTGAATTAATTGTTTTGATTGCGCTTTATCATACTTTCTGAAGTCAGAATAAAAGATCTTGTATAAACATACGAGTGTGATTGTGTCCTCAGGTTAGTATGTTACGTGACCCTGGAATTCTGTGCTGTCTTCGAGAGATGCTGGTTATTATTCGTGTTTGGGGACTTATAAACACTACTTGTCAACCAATATTCACATCAACATCAGGTTAGTACAATGCACATGGCTACTATTACATAGCTCAGTTGTAGAAATATAGATGCTAACAACTCTGATTGATACTACGGTATGAGGTTATTATGAGGATACCTCAAAGTATACACAAAGACAGTACAGCTGGAGTGTCAACCGACGTGCAGTGGAGGTTGATGCATGGCGTACTGTCTGAGTGCATACTTTTCGGTATAACCTTATTATTATACATCTTTTCCTTCCAAGGATACACCATGGGAATGCCGAAATTCAAAATGTTTAGAGCAGAATCAGCGAACTTCTTTGTGTGGAGTCCGGTAAAACTCTGGTGGCAGCCGTGCTTGTTTTTATTATTAGAGGACGCTTATGTGCGTAACCATTCCAGATATGGAATACGCATTTCTTAATAGGGTAGGAGGAAAATACCCCAATAAGATACCGCAAAATTACGACACGCTCTAAGTTATGGCATTATGGTGACAGATGTATAATATAATTCTAAATTAAATGTAGAATTAAAATACATGTAATACCAGAAATATTTATGTGCGAGTGTACCCGGGTACTGTTCATTGCTGACGGTTGAATGCTGCCATCTTGAAAATACTGCAAAGTTTAATATTATAAATTTGTTTATTTTTTTTCATAGATAATGTTGATGGTCTTTCAACTTTATTTAAACTATTAACACAAGTATGGTTGTGTTGTAAAGATGATACCTATGCTGAGTTTGATGATTCATTGATAGGTGAGCAAACATGACAACATCTTTTGAATTTCTTTGTATTAACCTTTTCATCACCAGACTTTCTTGCCCAAAGTTTTCTGCACTTCTTTCTTATATTCTTCAATATTTGTGGTGATGAACCCTAATTTTGAAGCCAACAGACAAAATTTGAGTCAGTTTTTAGTTTTTACTCAAAAAATTTGGCTATTTTTGTCCCAATCTTCTGAAGGAAAGAGCAGACTATAAACATGGCTACCTGTATTTTGTGATGAAAAGAGGGAACTGGTAGTGAAAAGGTTAATATTGTGCACAGTTTTACTTAAAATATGCTCAATTTCGAAAGTTTGAAATGGTGAATATCAATAATTTGGCATATATCAGAACTTAATATGTTATCAAATTTATTGAAAGTCGATAAGACTTATTAATGAATCTTATACTAATGGATTTCTTATAAAAAATGCTTCGTCTACTCTGTACTCTGGATAGCTATTACAAATATTTTACCTTGCAGGACACATCATTTTGTATATCAGAATCTTACTTCTTTCTCTTTCACATTCTTCCATTCCATATCAAACCGTACAGTGCGCATTTTGTAGACAAAATTACCAATTTTATGTTATAAGAAATGTCAAATTCTATCTTTTCCTTCAGACAAATATTAGCTAAATACCAAATCCCATTGCAACTTTAGTGGTTTAAACAATGTAGTGCTGAGAGTTTTAAAAAATTTTAAAATTCTTTTATTAAGTTTATTAATGCTCTTATTAAATTGAGATTGTAACAAAAATACATCAAAATGCAATCAAGTGATAATTGCCTTCAAAAGAGTTCTCATGGCAACCGTATATCTTGTAGAATAATCCTATTGCAGACTTTGGTATTGACATGATTGATTTCCTTCAGCATTTTTTTTTCTTCTCCAGATGAATGTATTTTGCTACCAAGTCAGTTGCTTGTACCAACTATGGAGTCTCTTCCTGTAGTTGAAGGTAAACAATTTATCGCTTTATTCGTTGTCTCATAAAAAAAAAAAAAAAGCATTTTCTGTTCTTATGTGCTCGCCTTCTTTCCCAATACATGATGCCCATGTATTCTCAAAAATAAGATTTCATTTTTTTTTGTCACAAGTGAACACATTGTCTACTCTATAACACCACTGAGGGCGCTATGTCTAAATATTATGTCATAAGTGAACAACACATTAGCTACTTTATCATATCAACATTGTGTTGAAATGTCACAAGCAAATAACACTGGCTACTTTATCAACACTGAGAGCGCTGTGTCTAAATATGATGTCGCATGTTTAAAAAAGCTGTGAGATGTTATACAAACTTGGATTACTATGAACGTTGAATTTTGCTCACAAGTGATGTCATCTCATCAGAGTCATATAAAATTTAAGGCAATATCTATAACCAACATTATTTTCATATTAAATTCATTGCTGCATTGTGGTACAAATGTAGGTGGTGCACCCTGAAATAACAAATAGATGGATCTTCCTTCAATAGCATCTATTCACGTCTTGATTTCTTTTTGCTTTTGTTTTTATTTGTAGGTATAACAGGCAGATCATTTATTAAACAAGCAATGAGTTTCCATTTTGAGAGCACCACAGTGCATGTGTCTCATGTGACAAGTTTCAATCCGAGCGCTACACCAGGCACCGAACTGTCTACTAGATACATGTCAGATAATCATAGTCAGAAACATGATGTTGTGAGACGTATATATCTTGGAGTGGCTCCCCATGATGAATTGAAACAATGTACAAGGTAATCATAATATCCTGATTTTTGAAGTTACTGGAAAACATTTCCCAAATTGTCAAAGTATCTACTTGCATGATAATCATAAATTTCACACTCAATTTGTTAGTAAACGTAGTAACTGCTTTTCAGGTAGTGGTATGAAGTATGTTTTAAATGACAAAAAACATGCATCTTCATACACCTCGCTCTTTGAAGCTATCAGTAGCAGCCTTGGGTTCAAAACATAGAATAAAACTATATCTAACGTTGAGTTTACCTATCGTATCTACATACAAATAAAAATTTCTGTCGACATTAGTTTGTAAGTGGATATTCTACTGTGTACTGCATTAAAAAAATAAATTATAGTTTGAGTAGCTATGTCTTATTAGCAGTCTTTCAAAGATGTATTAATGTGCAATTGTTTGCATTTTTAGATGTTCGTGCATTTCGCTGGTCAAATCTAATGCTAAAACTGGTGCTTTGAAAGCGTGGGATGCAAGATGGATAAAATCATGCGTATGTGGCGGCCAGTGGAGAAGAGTTACAGCATCAACACGATGATACTACTCCAACAACTGCTGATTAGCTCTTATCACAAACTGCAACTAGAACTATGGTATATGGTATATGGTATATGGTAATACAGGATTGACAATGGTGTCAATACATACATATCCACCTGAAGAGAATAAACTGAAGGGGAACAGTGAATTATTGAGCTGCGATATGTAAAATGCAATTTCATTAAGTTCATAAACTGTCAAATTTTGACAGGACTCTAACAATACTGTATTGTACAATTTGAAGACTTGTTTCTGTGTTGTATTTGTCAGTAACTGTTCAGTCATCAACACCTTGATTTCAAATGGTCCATTCCTGAACTGAGCTTTCAGGATTATTCAAAATGAATTGGAAAAAAATGGCATCAGCAAATTAAGTGAAATATACCAATAATACCATACGCATTGTTCAATTTGAGTAGTCACCCTTGGGAATAATAGTGAATATGTCAAAATATAAAATGAAATCTTGTTATCATTTTTGGGGGGAAATTTGCTTATTTGGCTTCCAACAAGATATCAAAGGAATACCTTGAATTACGGTAAATTGAAACCTAAGGCTGCTGTAACTTTAATAGTCATTTCATTAAAACTGCCATGTACCAAACGTTCTTCTTGGATCCATTTTAAAAAGTTCATTCCAAATGACCTTTGAATGTACAATCATGTATTTCAAAAACATGATTTTTATTTTTAATCCATTTATATGCTGAGAAATTAAATTTGACATTATGTTGTGTCTTTCATATTAGAATGTTGTATAGTTTTCCGTCATCGTGGCTTGACTGTTTATAATAATCTATTATGTCTTTGAATTCTTCCCACGTAAGTCAGATTTCATAAATTGTAAATATTTGTGATTGTACATCATTGACATGACTCCCTTAACAAGTACTTGAGGCTATTTTTTGCATAGGGTTCACAAGTTTCAGCGAGTATCAGTACTACACTGGAGTCAACAAGGCCATGTACCATGATGCTGTGCTTTATAAACTGTACTTCATAAAGACACGCATGTTTCTGTTAGAGCAGGCATGACATGGATTATCGAATGACATATTCAGCTGTGGCTGTGGCTTTATAAAGATTGATAAATAAATGTTTGGGTTTATACATTTATATGGGAAGCAAAAATGAAGTTCCAGACATAGTTGATTGTAGTTGTTGGATTTTTATTTATAACTTTATAATAAAAGTATATATATGTATAAACAAAATTGTTTTGACTGCTCTACTCTTTTCTGTTTGTTTATTCAGTCTGGTATATTCCACTAGCGTATATGCACTTGTGTGAATGTATTTTATGTATACATAGTGATGCACTTTAAAAAAAAACATTTCTCTACACTTAAAAAAATTTAAACAGGTTAACCACAAGGGTCTAAATGTCCCTTTGTATTTAAAACGGGTGCTTGTTTGGTCTCACACTATTCGGCTTTTCACAGAGTCACATGCATGTCATTCGAACAGCATTCTGGCCAATAGCATTGCAACAACTATTCAAAACTCTTAACAAACATGTTTCTGCATTTCAATACTTTATATGTGTGTCTTTGATTAAATATACTGAAGAAAAAGCTAGTTTTATGTATTCTGGCATGTCAAAAACACTGCAAAACTACAAAACAGAAATTATTATGAGAACCATCGTTTTTTTTTTTTTTTTTTTATAAAACAACAATCCTCTGCCTCAGGTAGTACATATCATTAACATATGTCTTACTTTCTCCGTAGAAACATATCTGTAATGTAAATAAATATACATGTTTCCACTAGTGGAAGTACAAAATATAGTTTTTCTGCAATTTTTGTTTTCAAAATTGGCACTTCCATTTTTTTCAAAAGCTACTTTCCCTTGTGGTTTCTAATGGTCCATCCCCTTATTTCTATTGTTGACAGATTCCATGTCTCAAGGAACAAGACTGGAGTCACGCCAGTGAGTACTACCACTCATATTATGGAATCGGTCAAATTAAAATTACATGAAAAGACAATTTTAGTATTTTTTGGAATAAATTTTGAACAAAATATTAATCCCCCGTTTAATCATTCCTTTATGTCTGTGAGAGAAATCACAAAATGTGGTGTAAAAAACTGCATGCTAAGTTCAAGAATAAAACTGTCTATTCATAATTAAGTTTTAGTACGAAGGAGAAAAAACACATTGTGCAAGTCAAATAATCTGATCCCACCAAAGTCAGGCCACGCCCATTTCGAGCAGTTTTGTGGAGGAAAGATCAGCCTCGTACGAGTACACAAACACACGACGGCCATGTTGGAATTTTAGGGTGCAGACGTGTAACTTGTAAACCTTTTACACAGTTCAAAATGAACACTGTTTATACGATTCTTAGGCATTTTGTCAAACTTTTTGTAATTTCTATAATTATTAGTAGTGTACAATGTTTCGACTACGATTTTACATATATTATACCGCCCGGGCAACGAGAGTGTTTTCACCAACCCGTCAAAGCTGATAATACACTCGATTTTGAGTTCCAGGTAAGATTGTACAACTTCCGGAGTCTGCTGTAGAGCCAGTAGTGAAACAGAGTGAAAGGTTTGGTAGATTGTCATACATGTCGAAACATTATACTTTTTGTTATTAATATTACGAATTGCTATAACACATCTTAAATCAATCATGACTGTCCACGGTGGTGGTGTTGGGACGATCATTCATGGACGTACTAACATGGGACGATGAAGTTCCTGTTAACTCGTTGTGATTTATGTACGTGTTGATAGTTTTAGGCGTATATTTTTGATTCTTTCTTTCTTGTATAATTTTTACTCGGAAATAAATCCTCGTAATATGTACTGCTATTCGCATTAAATATTTTCGAAACATCGTGCAACGTAATTTACGTACCATGACTAGGGTTACTTTTCTGATCAATAAAAAACAAATTAATTAAAATAAAACATTATTCCACAATATCAGTCATTAACAAGAATACAACGAAATATGCATGAAGGCAGTACTGATACTATTACTAATAAAAACTTTATTCACTATTCATACCTACTTTTGGGATCTAGATAAAAATACAATAAAATATGTTGATCATATCGATTCAAAATAATTTATAATAGTAATAATAATAACATTATTACGCAACTTAAGTTAGCCATATGTGGGTTTAGTAAGGTAAAAAATGATTACAATGACAAATAAAATAAGACACAAATAGGTGGAGTACCATGAATGACAGAGAGTGAATATACAAATTAGAGGAGAAGAGGATGAAAAAAACATCACTCAATAACCTCAGTTCAATACTATGTTAAAAATGTCGTCTTGTGATATTTTGATCTTATTGTGATAACTTTATAATGCTTCTTTTCCCTGATTGTAGTAATAATTTCAGTCAGAATTATTAGCGTATACCCCTGCTCGTGCTACAAGAGCATCTCGAGTATGTTAAATTAAATATAACTCAATCAGGATATTTTGTCTTTGAGTGTCTCGTAAGCGAAGACTCGGCCAGGACTAGCCCGGTATATTTATCTCGATCAGGATAGAAAGGAATTCTTCTGATTGGGTAAAATATTCTGGTAGCAAAATATTGCCTTGGACAACCTACATGTAAGGTCAACACCCGTCTTTTTTCGTAGTTCTTTCGGAGAGGAAAGTAGGTACATACAATGTACCTGTTTCACATACATGTACCTAATAATAATAATAATCAGAATAATATGAGGTTATTACGAGAATACCGAAAAGTATGCACGAGTCAAAGACAGTGCAGTGCTGAAAAGATTTTCCGAAATGCGGTGCATTTCATTGTAAAAATTTTTTTTTTCAGGTTATAGAAGGTGGTGCTTTAGATATTAATTTCATGTTGAGATCACCAACAAATAAAGTATTAGCCTCTGATATCAGAAAAAATGAAGGTGGTCATGAGTAAGTATACATCTAATCATCTATGTTCTTCTAAACATTATGCTAGAGCAAATTTTGCACTGCGAAAATGTTGTGATTTGAACTTGTGTAAATACTTTGAAAAAGGTTCTTCTCAAATACAAAATGCATAAATTTAAAAGAAATGTTTTTCAGTTTGCCAAAATCCATTTAGAAACTTGAATTCCGCACTGAGGAAAATATTGTGAAATAAAGACAAATGACAGGCATAAACAAAAATGTGAAAGTGGCTGTGCTTTTAGTCAAATGAAACTTCTGAAATATTTCAGTTTGCTTTGCTTTGTTTTTAAAAATCTATACAAATGCTATTTAAATAATTAAAAAAAGGTTACAGCTTATTGGCTTTACCTGGTAAATATACTTCCTGGTTGTTTTGATTGAGGCTTGAATAGATTTTTTATAATAATCCTAAAAAAGTATGTAATCCTTTTTGCAGACATTTTAATCTGGATTTATGCTGGTTTATCATCCCTCATTGGAGTGTATTAACAATAAAAACTATGATCTTTTATTATAAATGATGAAATGGCAATAATATTCTGGTACAGAAACACATCGCCTGCTGATGCCGGTTTTCTATTCACTTCGGCCATCTGTGGAGGCATTCAAGTGATGTGTTATGGTTCACATTAATTTATGTAGTGTAAATCATCCTTCCTGCCCAAAACATTGACAATTTACTTATCCCCCATTAAAAAAGACAAGGTTGTAATAGTTACACTATGTTTATAGAAATATAATTTCATTTTATTTCACAGATTTATTCCTGCAATTCCTAGTAAATACATGTATAAAGTTATTATTATACATCTGTCACCGTAATGCCATGAGTTACAGCGTTCTGTGATTTTGTGGTATTTTACGGGGCATTTTCACCCTACTATATTAGGAAATGCGAATTTCAAATATGGAATGATTATGCGCGTAAGCGTCCTCTAATAACAAAAACATACATAGCTGTCACCAGATTTTGACCAAATTCAACACAAAGAAGTTCGCTGATTCTGTTCTAAACATTTTGGATTTTGGCATTCCCATGGTTTATCCTTGGAAGGAAAAGATGTACATCGTATAATAATAAGATTACAAAAATACCTCAAAGTATGTGCGAAGACAGTACAGCTGGAGTATTGACTGACTGCGCAGCAGAGGTTGATGCGTTGCGTACTGTCTGAGTACTGTCCTAATCTACAACTGTATGTAGTTCCATGTCGGCAAATGTCCACCAATACTCATCCTCAACTCTGTACATGATGTGTAGTTTATAAAATAACATGTACAGTCAAACTGTATATGGCAAACTGCCGAGTTTGATTAATTAATCTGTGGATAAAATTATAATTTCTCAGTTCAAGGTGTGGTTTGTCAACAGATATTTAAAGATGAGGAATAAATAAAGAGAATATTTGCCTTGATCAAATTGAAAATGTAGAGATTAGTGTAAAAGATGCATGCAGAAATCTACCATCATGTTTGCCTTTATATGCAGGTGTGCCAAAATGATGGTCACCTGTCTAATTAGACAGGTGGTCTTTATAGATGCACTGTACCTGTACAGATCCATTTTTGGTTATACATGTAAATTGCATTGGATCAGTAAAAAATTGGTCACTATTACAGGTTGTCTTTATATAAAGGTGATCACTGACAGTTGCATAGATTTGACTGTAATATAGGATGTTTGTTTTCACTCAGAACACAGGTACAGTGCATCTAATATACTGTGGAATACTTTCGCTGAAATTAATTATCGCTGAAATGGCTTTTTGGGCGTTTTGCTTGGAATTTATTTTCACTGATTTTTGATGAGTTTAATGTGAAATATAGGAAAAAAAGTATATTCGCTGGATTTTATTTTCACAGAATCATCCCTTCAGCGAAAATAGAGAAAATAAAATATTCTACAGTAGCTTGTACAATTAAGCAATGTTGAATGCCATATGAAAGTTTTCTGTAAGACTCACTACAAATACATAGTTTTACTGGATCTACTCTGCTTGTACAATTAAGCAATGTTGAATGCCATATGAAAGTTTTCTTAAGACTCACTACAAACTACATAGTTTTACTTGATCTACTCTGCTTGTACATAACATTATATACCAGTATTTTTTGGGAAAGTAACAGTTTAATAAATTTGAACAATAGAAATTGAATTTGTCATATTTTCATCTTCTACAATAATAATACTTACATAAATGTCTAAATTATTATTTATTACATTTATAACAATTATTTTGGCGACAAAAAAATATGGAGACTAGGAACAGAAGCATTGCCTGTGGTGTTTTATTTACAGAAGTTAAAAATGCATTTATTATTAGCTTTAGCCTTCTGGCATACATGTATATGCGGCTGTCCTTGTGCCACACCCAATTTCTTTAAAGAATGCCTCAACATGAATATAATAGAATAAGTTTAGCATCAATAATGTAGGCCAATACAAATTATTTGCTGCTAAACTAGGTTGCTTATCAATACCTCTTGGGTTCCAGCTTTATGTTCAGTTAACTTGTGTTACAACTACATGTACATCTATGGGAAAAAAAGATAATGAGCCTTTTCTTTATCATGGGTAATTTGTGTAACATATTATATATATATATATATATTGAACAATGTGGTCATAAGCATTTTTTCCAACATTGTATGGGATTTCTATTAAACATGTTTTCTTTATTATTCCTCAGAGTTCAAACCACAGAAACGGGAGATTATTTGTTTTGTTTTGACAACACCTTTAGTAGAATGTCACACAAGGTAAATCTTTAAATAGCACATGTTTGCATCATATTGTCATCAATGATCTTCACATGATGACATGGTGATTTTTCACATGGTCAGAACATTTGCCATAATAGATATTTTACATGCATGTTTTTATTCACGATTACATTACTAGAATATAATTTTATCAATCTGAATTCTTATATTTTAGATGTATAAACAACAGCTTGACTGGCCAAGACTATTGTGAGCATTACATTCTTGGCAAATTCTCACAAGCCATATTTGCTTTATTTGTATATATAAGCTCAGTCAAAATATTTCAATTCAGCATACAATACAATACATTTTTTTTTTTTTTTTTTTTAAAGTTTTTGTGCCAGGCGACAGTTCCGGACATTGAATGTCACTGTTGTCTCTCCTGACTTTTTTCTATTTTGTAAGTGCAAATTGCAAGTGCTAGTGCTGAAACATAGTGCATTTTGCCACAGAAGTCATTTCCTGTTTGAGACTACATGAAAGGGCCGTGTAGCCATCTCCCTATTAAACGGCAATTTTAATGCGTTATCCTGGCGTCAACCAGGCTCGATCGAACACAAGCACCTGCGAACCTTAAACAAGGTTCCCCCAAAGTCGCATTCGTTAGTCTGATCATGAGTCTGATGCGACAACCACTATGCTACCAGTGACAATACAATACATGCCAATGCATTTTTTGATTTTAAACATGCTTCTAATATGTATTTATGTTTAATGTTGCAACTTTGTGGTAGAAATTTGGATGTACGTGTACATTGTATGTGTCGAGCTTACATTTTATCAATGACTCTAGTGCCAAAGTTAACTTGTGAAACCTTTTAACAAAATAATTAAATTGACATAATTTATTCACATTTTTCAAAAATGTTGACTGAGTCCAGTAGTATTAAATGGTAAATTATGCACAGTTGATCCCAAACTTAAAAATAATTATTTAAAAAATATGCAAAATGTTTGAAATGATATGAAAATGGTGTTACCGTGTAATTGTATTAACTTGACAGAAATTAACATGCTGCTCAAGGAAGTTGCTTACCGGTTATATATTTATTCTCATCCACTGTTTGTTTATTCCTTTTCGTTCTCTCTCCTCAGGTTGTCTATTTTGAAGTAGTAGTGGACAGTGAAGACTATGAATTTGAAAGAGCCAACTGGGAAGGTGACTTATTGGCTGACCAGCTTATAGATATAAAACTAGAAGACATGCAGGTAAGAATTTAGTTATTCTCTAAACTTCCTGGTGTTTGGAGACTGCATAAATTACTATATTAGTAGCACACGCACAATAAATCATGAGATTGTTGATCAAAATTAACTTTTTGTACTTTCCTATGAAATCTACATACATTTTTAGCTCCGCTGTCGACTTTGTCGAGCGGAGCTTATCATATGAGTGATTGTCCGTCATCGTTCGTCTTCTGTGTCAATGTTTTACTTGTTCGACTTCTTCTTGAAAACTATGAGCCTGAATGCTTTGATACTTGGTGTATATGTACCTTGGGTAGACCTCTCCTAGATTTGTTCATTTCATGATGATATCTTCAATTCTCTAATTTTGATAAATATTTTTGTCATTTTTGGTAAAAAGTGATATTTTCGACTTCTAGGTAAAAACCGCAAGTCCAATTGCTTTGATATTACATACATAGGTACTACATGTGGACTTCTTTCAGATTCTTAATTTCGTGGTGATATCTTCAATTATCTAATTTTAATGATTATTTTTGTCATTTTTGGTGAAAAGTGATATTTTTGAATTCTTGTTAAAAACAGCAAGTCTACATATTGTTCATTTTTTAATGATAACAGCGGAGCTATTTCAGCCAAGAGGCTGCTTGTT